ATAGCGGTAAGTTTACCTGTGATCTTGTCAGGATATTATTGTTGTTGTTGCTTAAACTTTGTCATTACTTTGTTACTTGTTCGTTTGATTGCTATATAACCAGTTGTCTTGCAAGTCCACTCAAATACTTGCCGCCTTGCACATGGCCAGATTCTGGAGATGGATAATCTAGATGGCCGCCCCAGCCAGTCTTGTGAATTGTGAAGCCCAACCAAGCCGTCAACCTAGTCTTCCGCTGTGATTTAGTTCTTTCGCCGCCGAATAACTCTGCTATGGAGTTATACGGATTATACCCCATTATAATCGGGCTACATACCCCGTTTTATCAATAAAGTCATGTTTGGAGCAATGTAACATGATACTGACACGTGTTGGGAAGTTATCCTGGGCCGACACGTGCAAGCAACCCGTTTGGTCCAGACGGGGATGCCACAGTCGCCCAATGATTTTTGTTGTCAAGCGTTCTCTCATATGTTTAAGGCGGTGGGCCATATTCTGGTGTAGTTGTGTGGTTATCCTTGCCTTGCGGAGGCCAAAGGGAACACAAAATGCACACACTCATATACATGGATGATATGTCTATAATCCCAGTATGACATCGCAATGAGACATCCAAATTATATACACAAAAAGTGTGTGAATGTGAAGAAGATAAGAAGATGGTGAAATATAGGATGGGCTATGGGACCATAACACAATTTCAAAAAATCACTAAAGGCTCAATATGAGTAAAATGACTAGGTGGTGGGAAGTACGGGTAAGCTAACAGTATTGGAGTTTAGTACCGAGTGAATCTAGCGAAGAAGTTAAGTGATGAGTCGAGAGCTAGCACTGATAGCTTCACTAGATCTATTGTAGGAGATGTGATTAAGATGAAAGTGAAAAGGGAACTGGTCTTTTGGGATATGAATATAAAGTCAAATTATAAGTAGTTCTCTATGCTGGTTCCCTTCCCTTGCATGCAGAGAGTGTGGCTGAGAAGAAATGATCGATTCGATTGTTCTTAACGCGTGTGGCTGGGAGGTGCTTTAAATTTTATACGGGCCAAAATTTAAATGCACACTAGATGTCCAAACGGGCCAAACTCGCATCTCCAAGGCCCGGCTCAACAATATGCACACACGCTAAATCCTATTCGGCGTCTTTAGCGCCCAATACTAGTCATTTTACTAACGGGCGCATACTGCCTCATCGCGTTTGGGCCGGCCCATTTTTTTTTTCTCTGTTTCTAAAGAGCAAAAATTATACGAGAGCCAGGATTTGATCTCACGACGAGCATGTTAAGAGCAGGACACGACAACCACCCAACCAGTTCAGTTGTTGTGTTTCCTTACATGCTTTTCTCCTTTTGTTCTTTCATGCGTTTGTTTTCTTTTTTCCGTCCCTCTTTTTTTCTTTTTTCACGTTCGAGAAACTTTTTTTCTTCATGATATTTTTCTGCAAAATCGATATTTTTTTTGTCAAATTCGAAGAAACTTTTCCAAACTCGATGACCTTTCTTTCAAATTTCGCTGATTTTTTTCAAATTTGTTTTTTTTTCAAATTCGGTGAACTTTTTTTCAAATTTGATGAACTTTTCGTTTTAAACCCGGTGAACTTCTTTCAGATCGGATGAACTTTTTTCTCAAATCCTTTGAGCTCTTTTTCAAATTCAATGAATTTTTTTCAAATTTGATGAACTTTTTACAGATCCGATGAACTTTTTTCTCAAATTCGTTGAACTCTTTTCAAATTTGATGAACTTTCTTCAAATCCAGTGATTTCTTCTCAAATACAATGAAATTTTTTGCAATTCGATTAAGTTTTTTCAAATATCATGAAATTTGTGTCAAAAATTGATGAGATGTTTTTTAGAAACGATGAACTTTTGTGTCAATTCGTAAATTTCAGATTCATTTGTTTTTTCAGTTTTGTGAAGGAACACCAAAAAAAGGAATGAACGAACGAAACGCGCAGCTGCGAACGAGAGGAAAGGAGCGAGCGTGCTAGCTGGACCGGCCCACGCGAGGCTGCCGCGAGCGCCCGGTAAGAGAACCGGCGCGCTGAAGAGGAGGTCGGAAAACCATATTTGCCGCTCCCTGCGGCAAACTGTCGGGGTACCGCACAGGGCTATCGAGCGAGCTCTCACGGGGGGCCGGCCGGGCCGACATTTTAAGTGTTCCATATACCGGTTTTGGGAACCTTCTATGAATCTTTCTAGCCGGTTTTTTCCGGTTTTGGGAACCTTCTAGAAGGTTCCTGAACCGCTTTTTCTTTTTTTTATTTCTTTTTCGTTTTTATTTTTGATTTTTCTTTCCTTTTTTGTTTTTTCTCGTTCTTTTTTCTGTCTTTTTTCTACCTTCTTCTGTTTTCTTTTTGGATTTTTTCTATTGTCAGTGAATGTCTCAGAAATTTTTCAAAATTTGTATTTTTCAGTTTTGTTTTCGTTTTTTCAGAAAATGTTCCTATTTTCGAATTTTTTTTCAGATATTTTATAAATATTTAAAATTTCGAAAATTGTTCACTTATATTCAAAAAATGTGCCAAATTTGAAAAAGTGTTTGTCTTTTTATGTTTTGTTTACAAAATAAAAATTGTTCGGATAATAAATATGTCCCCGCTATCAAATTTGTTGAAAAATTCAAAACATAATCATGTTCCCAAATTTTTTCACAAATTCAAAGAGTGTTCGCGTTTTTAAATTCTGTTCACCAATTAGAAAATGCTCAGGAATTTAAAAAAATGTTGTCATTTGCGAAATGTGTTTGAAATTTTTTAAAAATGTTCCCGTTTAAAAAAAATCGCAAATTCAGAAAACTTTCATGTTTTCATTCCTGTTCACATATTAAAAAAATATGCCAATTTTAGAGAAATGTTCCTGTCTTAAAATTTTGTTCAGAAATTCAATAAATGTTCATTTTTCTAATTTTGTTCACAAATTCAGATATGTTTGGGAATTTCAGAAAACGTTGCAGTTCCGAAATTTGTTTAGAAATTGAGAAAATGTTTCTTTTTCTAATTTTGTTGTCACAATTAAAAAAATGTTCATGATATTTAAAAAATGTTTACCTTTCAAAACAGGTTCATAAGTTCAAAAACAATCACATTTTCAAATTTTGTTCAAAAGTTCAAATAATGTTGCCATTTTCAAGTTTTAGTTCACATATACAAAAAATCTTTGTGATTTTCATATTGTTCTCAGGTTCATTTTTTTCTTCGTTTGAAAAGTTGTACCTGTTTTCAAAATTTGTTCACCAACAAAAAAAATGTTTGTGTTTTCCAAAAATGTTCTGGAATTTGAAATTGCATTTTACAAAAAAGGTTTCATTTTTAATTTTTGTTCATGTTAACAAATAATCTTAACAATTCAAACTGTTCTCAGATTCAAATTTTTTATCTGCATTTCAAAAGTTGTACCTTTTTTCAAAATTTTGTTCACCATTTAAGAAAATGTTTGTATTTTCAAAGTATGTTCTAGGATTTGGGGAATTATTCACGTTTTACAAAAAGTTGGAACATTTCAGAAATGTTTGCGTTATAGAAAATTGTTCGGATTTTCAAAAGATGTACAATTTGTCAACTTTGTTTTACAAATTTAAATTTTTTGGGGGAATTTAAATTGTATTCACAGTTTGAAAAGATGTTCCGAAATTTAAAATTTGGCCATGTTTGTCAAAAAGTATTCATAATTGCAGAACAGTTTTAACAGTTTTTAAGTAAGATCCAATTTAAGCCGCGGTTTTCAGTTCATTTGTATTCGCCCCACAGATATGTCACAAAAGCTTTAGTGGGTGTGGTGGCTACCTTGTCGGGCGTATAAAGTGGAGGTCTACTGTGCGACCACAAATCGCCAAAAATAACGCAAAATGGGTGGTTGTTTCAGGGATCAAACTCGCATCGCTCGAGTGGGGAACCCTTTTTTAATCTTAGCTGACCACCAAGGCAATGGGTTACTTGTGATTTACTAGCGCTATACGGTACATGAACTAGTACGGGCGCGCTATTTATTTATCATTTAGATTTTGCATTTACTTCTATAAATTCGTGAATTTAAAAACGTTCAATTATTTTGAGGCAAAAGTTCATCGATTTTGAGAAATAGTTCATCATTTTTTAAGAACAGTTCACAAACTTAAAAAGTTCACCGATTTTGGAAAAAAAACTTTATGAAATAGTTTAAAAAGTTCATCATTTTCAAAAAAAAGTTCATCGATTTTGAAAAAAGTTCATCTTGTTTGAGAAAATAGTTCACAAATTTGAATGAAAAATTCGTCAATCTTGAAAAAACATCAAAATTAGTTCATCGGATTTGGAAAAACTTCACCAAATTTGAGAAAACAAAAGTCAAATTTGAGAAAAGTTTGCTGAATTAGAAAAAAGTTCATCAATTTTAGAAAAATGTGGATGGATTTGAGAAAGATCATCGAACAAGGAAGAAAAAGAAAAAGTTAAACAGAATAATGAAAAACAAAAAAGTAAAAAAGTGAAAGAAAAAGATAAGGTAAACAAGTGATGGAACTGTGAGCACCAAGTTACTGTGGCGGGGTGGTTACCATTGTGGGCTGTTAACCAGGAATTCTCTGGTTCGGTTGCCAGCTCTTGCGGAATTTTTGCGATTCGTATATGCGAACGACAGCCAAGCGAGCGAAATGGGCCAAGCCCAGCTAAAGCTGCTGCAGGCGCCCGTTAGCAGAATACACATTAACGAGCGCCTGCAGCGCTAAATAGGAAAAGCCACATTTGTCGCCCGACCTCTCGCGCGAGGTCAATCCAAATGGGCCGGCCCAGTCGAGCTATTCCTATGCGAACGGACGTCTTCTTGACGCAAATAGGTGCTCCCGAGGAGGTCTCCCAAACAGCTCCATATATACAACACGATGAAGAAGGGGAAAAGAGGAAAACCCTAATTTCATTGTTATTGCTTTAGGAAAACCTCTGTTAGCTCTTCCTCTCGCGAAAATCCCCAAATTACTTTGAGGATCTCGATTTCCCTAGCACCAAATCACCAACATCCTCACACCATGTCGTGGCACGGCGTCTTGCCCGACGAAGAGGACAGGATCGATCTCCCCCTTTACATCTCGCCCGCCACTCCCCCTTACATCTCGCCCGCCACACTTCTCCCCAAGGTGAGAGCTTACGAGATGGCGGCGCCGGATTCGATCTGCGTCCACCACCTGGTGGCGCGACCGGCAGGAGGTGAGCACGCCAAATGATTAGCTGAGCTCAAGATTGTGGAAGGGGCAATCGGGAATCTGAGCAGGGAGGCATTGCCAGGGCCGGTGTATGGGTTCCAGGAGCTAGGTCTGGCGGAAGCAGTTCTGCACAACTTGGCGAGGTGTCAGTTCGAGACCCCGAGTCCGTTGCAGTGCTACTCGATCCCGATGGTGCTGGCCGGCCGGGACCTGTTGGTTTGCGCGCAGAAGGGGTCCGGGAAGACGACCGCCTTACTCATCCCGGTGTTGAGTGGGCTGGTGACGGCGCCGGTAGCAGCAGGAAGAACAGGACGTATGAAGTGTGTTAAACCACGCGCGCTCTTGCTCGTGCCTACCGCCAGGCTTGTAAAACAGGTAAGAGGATGCCTCTCAGCAGATTCCAAGGTGAATTTGTTTGCGCATATTCTCTCTATCTTGCAACCGACTTCAAAAAGTTTTGTGTTTATTTGAATAAAAAAATATGATGATAGAATATGGATGAATTTTTTTCAAAAGACCTTACAGCTATATTTTTTTGTAAAATCTTACAACTATTCGAAGAGAGCGAAGCCAAACTTTTCTCTGCAATCGTTTTAGAATAAAACACAAACTGCAAGATGTCTTGTCGGTGATATCTCTTGTGCCGCACCTGTGGTCGCAATTGTCTTGTGTCTGTTAGTTGTACTTACCATGGTAGCTTTGACATCCTTATCATGAAAAATATACTTAGATAGGTAGCTGTTATGTTATCATTATTACGGAGTCAAATTATGCTATAACTCCTTATGATTACACACTGCAGAAGACTAGTTGCGACTGCAAACCGAACATACTAGTTTTTACGGATTGAGTCTGCTAAATCAAAGAATCAGCTTTATTGCTCCTGGTTTTGTGAGTTCAGTTTAATGTTAAATTTGTTTATTTAGGATATATTGCACATCTGTTGTGCATTTTCTATTCACTTTGTGATTAGGTACTGGTAGCTACATATGCGCTTTGTTTTCTCACTAATAGGTGGCTACCATAACTAGGGTATCAATCAAGGTGGCGGGGAGGGGGGGAGGGGAGGGGGCTCTTAATTTTGATCGAAAATAAAGCTTCGTTATCTGCAGCCGTTGCTGATGATGTATAGTTTTCTAAAGCTGGTAGCTGCTTTTTTTGTGACCTATTCTAGCTTAGAAATGTGAAGCGTGCACTAGTAGTATGCAGAAAGCTAGAAACTGTCTTCTCATCCATACCAGATGTAATCCTTTGGTATGTGAAGATGCTTATGTGAAAACACTTCTGTGTTTGTATGCCTGTTTACATTTGAAACAGTTTCCGATCAACAATGTATTGCACTTGTTTGAATCAATCACATAGAGCTGTGGTGACATTCCTTATTCGTGAGTTACTTTGAGAGATTGTTGATATTTGATTGTGTGAGTAAAAATGCCTTTGATGTTACTACCCTGTACAGCATCTATCTGAAATAGTTTTGCAATTGTCCGGTGGAATACTTCATACTACTAATGTTTCTTGTCTTCAATTCTATTGTTCTTTTTCTTCATCTGTGGAATATTGAGTCTGTTTAGTATGGTTATACACACTTACATAAAGGGTAATTTTACTCCCTCCGTTCCTAAATGCAAGTCTTCTTAGAGATTCCAATATGGACTACATACGGAGCAAAATGAGTGAATCTACACTCTAAAATACGTCTATATACATCCGTATGTAGTCCGTAATGAAATCTCTAAAATGACATATTTAGGGACGGAGGGAGTATTTATTTATGTGTGCCACTAGTACCTGTTAGCGGTGCTAAAGACTTCGCTGATAATGGTATCATATTTCAGATTGGTGCTGATATCAGGAAATTCTCTTACCGAACTAGAATAAGAGTTCATTCAAAGATGAAAGGGAAGATGCAGGTGATTGCCGTTTGTTTTCTTCTCTCTTCCTCGGGCAGAGTTTCAGATTTCCATTAAGTTCTTTTCTTTGCTGCTGATTGTAGAAATGTCAGCTTGAAGCGGGCATTGATATAGTTGTTTCTACACCCCGACGTCTTATCAACATGGTTAGAACCACTCAAGTCTCCCTTGAGGCAATAAAGTATCTGGTCATATGCGAGCTTGGTTTGATGCTGGATATGGGGTTTGAAAAAACGTTAAGGAAGATAGTTGATGACATGCATATTCCACCGAAATCTGCCAGACATACTTTACTTTCCAGCGGTACTTTCCAACCAGCAGTACAGGTAAGAACAATGTTGTCATGCCTTCTGTTTTCTGCAATAGCTCCAAACATTCAACTGGATCAGTATTTTTTATTCTTTACTGTATGAAGCATGTAATTCTCTTTACTGTTTGAAGCGCTTTTTCATTTCATAATTTTGTTTACACAACGTTGGCAGCATGTTTTCATGTCTCACTGGTATCCTCTATGATCTTCCCCAAGCTACTATGAGCTGTGAGAAATGAGAATCATCGCTGTCATCTTTTCTAGTATGAGCTGTACTGTGTCAGTGAGTTCCTTGGAATGTCCTTGCCACCAGACATGGTGTGGAGGCTCCAATATCAGATTGTCATGGGCGGATAGATCATAGCTAGTTTTCCAGCGGCTGGACATACGATATGAACTCTGTCTGTAACCGGTCCTGCCTATATGCTTGCAGGGCAAAACTGGTTCCAGCAGAAGAGTCAGGTGCCTCATTTGATTAAAGCGCCAGCAGGTCGCTCAACAATTCTTTTTACTCGTGACCATTATAACCAGAGTCTTCACCAGTCTTCACAGTGAAGCTCGGAATGCGGCCATGATGGCGGCGTGAGGCATTGATCAAGCCAAGAATTGATAGACATCGACATAGCCCGCACGCTGCAGATCGCTAGGATCAATATGTGACACCATACTTGGCGATGAGCCACCGCTACCCCTGTCCGACATGGATGTCGTTGGTCAGGAAGCTCAAGCTGGTCACACCATCGATCTCGTCCCACCTCCATGACGCCGTGCTTGTCGGCTGTCCTGTGCCGAGCCGCCAGTTCTCATGGGAGCCTTAGCTTGGAAAGTTAATGCTTAAGCTAGCTGAGCCCTCCTCCATGCCCTGTTGCCTAGACATTTGGCTCGTACGCCTTGTGTGGATAAGCAGGAGGGAGGTAGGGAGGGAAAGGGGGAGGGAGAGGGAGACTGTCCTTTCTTAACTCACGCTACACGTTGGTTAGAATAGATGGGGCGTCTATAACAACAATAATTCTTTGGTGTACTCACTCTGTCTAGTGGAACTGCTATTTACTAACATATCGATACACATTTGATTATGCCTGCTTAGATACGTTTGACTTCTATCGAGCTTCTTTACTTTGATCATGTTTGCAGAAACTGGCTTGGGATTTCTTGTCAGATTACTTATTTATCACCGATGGGAGGTTGGAGTTCAGTATTGGCCTAACTAAGCAGAAAATTGAGCTTGCCTCTGAAGAAGAGAAAAGAGGCCTCCTGCTAAATCTGTTACAGAAGCAATCCGTCTCTTCTGCCGGCATGGTAATACTTGTTGCCATCCTAAGTGTAACAAGTACATTGGTCTCTGTTTGCTGCTTAAAGAATTCTCAAGTTACCTTGCATGCTTGTCTAGCAGAGCCAACTCAGAACAGTAGTTTTTGTCGAGACAAAAGGAAAGGCTGATTCATTGAAGAATTGGCTATGCAATGAAGGTTTTCCTGCAACAGTGATCTTTGCTGACAGTTCACAGCAGGTACGTATGTTTATATGAACTCTTCACTGATTGCCTAACTTGTTTTTAAGCTGCATTGTTTGTGTTATAAAGAAGATTTCAACCTAAATTACTCTCATCTGCCATGCTGGTCTCATACTTCCTGTAGCTTTATATGTATGACCTTCAGTGTTCAGTGTTTGCTAGGTTCTAGTAAGAACTTACGGTTCTGCACTAATGCTTGGAAGACCTACTATAATGCTTCATCTATTCTCTTACATGCCTCTTGTGTTCACTTGTCTCGTTTAGCTGAATGAGTGAACAAGTATTCTGAGATTGAATCTAGTCAAGGCTGTTATTAATCATGCAAATAGATAGATAATGGGCCTTAGCATTATCTTGGCACTTTCATTACAATTATCTGTTGAGCCGAGAGCAGTAAATATTTAACTGTTCTGTTTGTCATCTTTAATTATATATTGATCATATGCATATGCTCTTTGAAGGAGAGAGAGAGCGCATCGCTACCTTTCCAGATTAGCGGCATTTCTATCCTGATTGCTGCCAATGCAGCCTCACCAGGCTTGGACGTTGCAAATGTTGATCATTTGATTAACTATGATCTTCCAAAGTCTGTTGAGGAATATGTTGAGAGGATTAGAACATTTGCGAGAGTTGGTTCTGCCACTTCCTTCTTCACTGAGTCCAACCGGTCGATAGCAAAAGGCTTGCTGGAATTGATGATTGAGGCAAATCTAGAAGTGCCAGATTGGCTGTTGGACTATGCTAATCCTGATTATACTAGGTGAGTGATTATCTCAGGCTCATGCTAATGATCCTAAGGACCATCATAATTTTATCCAGTTTTATTTTGTGTGCAATGTTTACTAACTTCATTATATTGAAACAAACTGTTTAGATCTGTGGAATTGGACTCAGAAGATGAGGAGAATGATAAGGACAGATATGATTTAGCTCGGTATGCAAATCCAACACATAAGTTCTATGTCAAGTTCGTTTGAGCATATAGTAACATCTAGTGTTTAATACTTCATAAACTGCATATGCAGGTCTCTCGCCTCACGCAAGATTGATAACATATACGATCTGGCATGTGTTTGGGCTGAATTAAATTGCAGGAGAACTAAGCAAAGCTTTGATGATAGTAGGATCAAGACAATGTCTAAAGATTGTTGTATTGCATTTACACAACAAGAAGAATACAAGGTATATATTCAGTTGTCAACTTTGAAGTTGCAGTGCATCTTTCATGTGAATATACTTACATGTCTGTATATTTGTTTTGATAATTGTTGCAGTTCCTCAAGTTCTATTTCGTCAAGGTTACTCAGCATTGTTATAGTCCTGAAAGTTATGAAAAAACCTATTGGCATTACAATTTCATTGCCAAGATTAAGAGTAAATCAGGAATCTGGACTGAAGGTATCTACTTTGCTGAAAGAAAATTAGAATGTGATGTGGAGACATTTTGTTGCTCTTTCCTGGAGCCGTCAGACGATGGTGAGTGCTATGGTTGTCAACATGGGGAGGCGAAGGTTCGGCATCCAACTAGAGGTGACTATGAGAGAGGAACACCTGATCATGTTTGGCTTTCCGATGGTGACTGTGAAATTAGTGATGATGATATGGTGGATTTCTAAACTTGTGTAACATTGCATTTTCAATTTGTGTACTGAAACACCATACTTGTTGCGTGTGTAGGCATTAACCTTTTACCACTTGTACTAAGGTTAATTCATCTCAATGAGAGTACAATGACATGTTTCCATTTTAATTTCAAAGCCGTACAATGGCATGTTTATATGGAACTCAAGTCACTTGAAAGGGTTACTTCCTCTGATCCATATTACTTGTCGCTGACTTGGTACAAGTTGTACTAAGTCAGCAACAAGTAATATGGATTGGAGGAAGTATTTTCTTTTTGAGATGCAACAACAGAGTTTGAATTGCACTGATACTGACATAGCTTCTCCCTGATAACATAAATGTAGGAAGACACTGAGGAAACTTTTCGTTATTAGAACTGATAACCAAGTGGCAGCATTGTCGCATCCAGCAGTTGGCTGCCTTGCTGGCCTGTAGGATCCGAGGGTGTTGAATAGTTTGAGGCTCCAAGGATGAGTACAGAATCACCAAACAAAGCTAAATGCGTCAACTTGCGAATACTCATCCTGTGAGGACAAAGTTGAGACACTTATTTTTAGACGGAGGGAGTAGCTTGAAAGGTTTGACCAAGTATTGTTAAGAGGCTAGTCAACATCAACCCAATATCCCAAAATAAGTGTCAACTTTGTACTGATTTTTTTTTCGAGAGTACGCAATTGCGTACCTTAGCTTTATAGAAGAAGGAGAACAAGATTTACAAGAAACCACATGACAATGCGCACATTATCATGGGTCGCCACTCCACACAGCTATCTAGTTTAATGTCTCACAAAACGTTGTAGCCCTCCTACTCCGCTTACCACTAAGTTCCACTCTCTAAGCTCCTCTAGAATAACCCCAGCTAGATCTATGGCCGCCAATTGCTGCTCTCTTCTGTTGAAAACTCTGGCATTACGTTGCTTCCATAGTGCCCACGCCGTGCATATAACCAGACTATCGAACCCTCTCTTCTCCTTACCAAGATAACTTCTGCGCTTCCGCAGCCACCACTCCACAAACGTGTCCTCCGTCGATGGGGCCGCGGTTGGCAACTGCAGCCTGTCCGCAGCCACCACTGCAACTTTGTACTGATTTTAGTACAAAGTTATAGTATTAAACTTGAGACACTTGTTTTGGTTTTGGTTTTCGGACTGAGGGAGTAGCTCGGAAGGTTTGAGTAAATATCGTTAAGAGGCTCGAACATCTCTGGAACACCTACCCAGATGGAGCAAATTGCTTTGGCGGCTCCGAGTGGAAGAGCAAATTGCGGAGTGGAAGTGTGTGGGAGCTAGTAGCTCTGACTAGTTGCAACGCATATATCTGGTTGCAACATTATCTTTGAGCACATAGAGAAAGAAACTCAGCTCAGCAACCTCTCTCCTTTGTTGATCATTAAAATGAAGTCTAATTTCTTGGCTAGGCCAACATTTGTCTTCATGGAATGTGGAGGGGTCACCAATCAACTTTCTTTGTGAAAGTGAATGTGGCTAATTTTATTTCGGTGTGACGACAATATAGTTATCGGTTGCTAAAAGTTTATCTTAGGATATTGGTTCCAGAAGATCATGTTAAGTTGTCTGACCCCCTCCCCCCATTGAGTAGTTAAACGCCGCTAGGCTACCTGCCCATATGAGGCACTTGTGTGCGATAAGCTTTCTAGATCGTTAGATTTTTTTTACAATGGTATGATTTTTATGCTGGCAATCAGATCATCATCAAAACCCCATCCCCTTTTAATAGTATTGGCTTTCCTATGGACTCAATGTGATCTTGGATCACTTAACCAAAAAATGTAGAGTCTTGAGCTTTTGCCAATCCATGTCCTTAGCATTTTGAGGGGTCCACAATTACCAGTCCTTGCCATGCCAAATATTGGACTTCCTGAAATCTTTAACTTGAATGGATGTTAGTTCAATGAGATATATGTTGTTATGAATTACTAAAACCACTCGGGGATTAGTTGCACTTTCAATCTCCCATTTTTTTGTTAATTGATGACAACATATAGATCAAAGCTTCGACAAATGATTAAATGAATGAAATACATCGTCACTTTGAGAAGTATGTGATAAGTAAGAGTCCTTTCTAAATTTGTGCATTATTAAAAATTTGCGTTTGAATGCAAATGCACAATCGATTAGGAACATGGGTCACTCTTGCATGTCACATACAACTTGGTGAGCGCAAAAAATGATATGATTGGAATAGTAAGCACGCATCACCAAAAGCACAAGTGTATGATCATACAAAGATAATGATAAGCATTTGTGCATAGCATGAAGCATAGTATCTCGCAAACATAACGGGCAAAGCAGCATAAACCAAGTAGCAGCAAAAACTCAAAGAAATCAATCAGGGAAAAGAAAGACTCTCTCTCTCTCTCTCTCTCTCTCTCTCAACCTAATGATCTATACAAATTCCCCCCCCCCCTTTGGCAACAAGTACCAAAAAGCTCGAATAGGATAAAACTATGTGTAAGTGCATCTAGTGCCACCCATAGTTGGTTTTGGAGTATTGACGACAAACATGGTTGAGGGACTAATGTGTTTGTGAGTTTCACAGGATAACACAGGTAGAAGTCCCTATTGATTCGGTTTACCCATCGAAGATGACCCTTAAAAATGTATGAAGACATTGAAGACAATGGTGGTTCGCGAAGACATTCACGTCGAAGATAATGACGTGTGAAGACATTCACTTGAAGACAATGGAGTGCGAAGACGTAGTTTGTTTCATAGTTTCTCTCTATCTCTCTCTCTCTTAGCCTAATGATCTATACAAATTCTCCCCCTTTGGCAACAAGTACCAAAAAGTTCGAATAGGATAGAACTATGTGTAAGTGCATCTAGTGCCACCCACTGGTACACGTCGGTGCTATACAAATGATTTTTAACCCCTTTCCACGACGACTTTTGGAACCATCGCCAAGTGAGTGTGGGCGATAGGGGGGTCCTTCCCACATGGATAGGCCCTCCTGGCACACATGCTGGGAAAAATGAGCTCGTGTGCGATCGGGCGAGGCATCAAAACCCAACCGTTTCCGTTCGTATGTACATCCCACACGGTGAATCCCAGAAAAATATTTTCGTTCGTATGTATACCACACATAGTCAATCCAAGGATTACATTTCCGTTCTTATGTACATCCCACATAGTTAATCCAGCGAAAACGTTTCCGTTCGTATATACATCCCACACAGTTTTATGTATAGGCTCGTGTGTGGAAGGTGTAACTATCACACACGCTCTGCCTTGGTTAACCGTTTGCTTTTATCAACTACATCACACATGATTTGATGAAGAAAACTGTGTGGCATTGGGCTATCCATCACAAGCGCTTTTACTGCTAGAACCGTTTGCAAAGTTCCATGACCCATTTAGCAGGTTTATTAGTTTACAATTAATAATTCCAGTATTACGCAAATTCACATTTCATATCAAATAGTTGTTTACCAATTTCATAAATATATTTTAACATCACAGTAGGATAGCTACCTGAAAACAGCACAGTACAACATATAGCTAGTTCAACTTCATAAGAACAATATTAGAATAATATATACATTTCCCTAATCGAGATCATCCAGGAACGTCTTATCCACCCCTGCTTTCAGTTCAGTAAGAACCTGTTTTGCACTGTCCAACTGGGAAAGTGCCTCCCCCTTCGCCAACACCATCTTAGCAAAGTCTGATTTAAAAAATATGAGCTCATTCTCCACCTTCCTCCTTTTATCCCGCATCTTCAAATATTATTCAGCGTTAACAACACTTTCTCTAAGCCTATCTCTGTTCTCTTCCTCATACATGCTCCTGAACTTAACTAAGCACATCTTCAAATACCATGGCCACTCTTGATCAACCCACTCCAAGTAAGAACACTTCCGTTCATCCTATAAAATTTAAAACTAGATCAGTACATTGTAGGGGACATCGGTTTATAGCAACATAGAAATCACCAATACTTATTTTGAAAAACTGAAGAAACAGGTTAATTATGACATATCTTCTCAAAAAGATCAATGTGCAAATAAATTAATTGCTACTGAGACAACAACCAAATTCTGAAACATCAGAAGCTATAATTAACTACAACAACGCTACAAGTTCTTACTCATGTATTATAAATAACAAATTGAACATTTTATGAGGAAGATAAATATAACTGCAACAACATAGCGACAATGTTTGGATAACAACAAATTGATACTAACATGTGTGTACATGCACAAATTTAGTAACATAGAACTAATAGCACTAAGGCCGTCCACTATGTATGCCAAAACTGGTGTAAAGACAATTGTTGCTACATCTCGCACCGATGCCCTACACTGGCGAGCCGATGCAGCGGAAAAAATCAGGGACCCGGACTCCGGAGCACCCAGTTGCTCTGATGCCCAGTTCCTTCGTGCCATAAAGATTTAGTATTTGACTGCTTGGCTGCTCAGATGTGTGGACCAAAGTTGGCTGCACAAACTGCTGAAGCGGTGCCAAATAATTTTCTAATGGCACCGCTGATGAGATGGCAACATTTTTAGATAGTAGGTGTAACGCCCCGGATTCGATGCGCCAGGTGTCTGTCAGTTATTCGCCGTCGTTGCCATGTCATTTGCTTGCGTGTTGCACTTTTCCATGTCATCATATGCATTTCATATCATGTCATCATGTGCATTTCATTTTGCATACGTGTTCGTCTCATGCATCTGAGCTTTTTCCCCGTTGTCCGTTTTGCAATCCGGCACTCCTATGTTCCCCGGCGTCCCCCTTTTTGCCTCTTTTTATGTGCGGGTGTTAAAACTTTCTCGGAATGGCCCGAGGTTTGCCAAGCGGCCTTGGTATACCACCGGTAGACCGTCTGTCAAGTTTCGTGCCATTTGGAGGTTGTTTGATACTCCAACGGTTAACCGGGTAACCGCAAAAGCCCTCTTTGAGTTGCAGCCCAACACCCCTTCCAAAGTGGCCCAAAGCCCAGCAAACTCCCCTCCATGCTCTCGGTCGT